ATATATATATATATATATATATATATATATATTGTACATTGTTGTATGTATGGCATTATAATTCTTCATACTTTGCTTCGAAGGATATGTTTCAAGAAACGATATGATAACTAGATGATGTATATACCATTTTTTTTTAAATATTTGAATTATAAAAATTATAAAAATATTTGTAAATTCCTATTTAAATATATATATATATATATATATATATATATATATTTAAACAGGAATTTACAAATATTTTTATAATTTTTATAATTCAAATATTTTTTTTAAATGATATATACATTATATAGTTATCATATCGTTTCTTGAAACATATATATATATATTTAAATAGGAATTTACAAATATTTTTATCATTTTTATAATTCAAATATTTATTTTTAAAATGGTATATACATCATATAGTTATCATATCGTTTCTTGAAACATATTCTTCGAAGCAAAGTATGAAGAATTATAATGCCATACATACAACAATGTACAATTGCTATTTACAGATCATATAAAGTGGTATTTGTGGTAAAATGCGTCTCGAAGAGAAAATTTGTTCTTATAGTGTACGTTTTTATGTCATTGCAAGCGTCTTTAAGCAATAGCTCTGTTGCGTTCTTAATCTCTGTGTCCTCGATGGCCAATGATTAAGAAAATCTATTCCTGGAAGTATTGCACGAGCATTCCACAAGCGTTGCATGGTCAAACCTATTCCGCCCGACAACGAAACTTTTCGCGGAGTCGTAAGAATCCTCGTGCACTATGAAACTTTTAAGATCCGCGCTAGCGACATTTTGGTTCCCTCTGCGCGCTGTGCAGAACTTGTAAAGCTTAAAAGCACTTTCGGCTTTATGCCCATGCGCGTATCAGCAAAGGGATGCTCGTGAATGCGGGAGGAGAGACGAAGGTGGATTCTAAATTCTGGAAAGCCGAGATGAACAGAAAGTGGACGACGTTTGGTCAAATTACCGTACTGTTGAGCCCTGCTGGAACTTAATTACGAGATGGAATTAAGTAGACAAAATATATGCACGTAAAACAAAATATTTTTTTCCACGATATAATTTATATCATACTTTCTTAATAACATTTATTTTAAGGTAAATATTGTTACATATGTGTGTCATGACTGATGAGAACTTGAAAATTACATGTTTGATTGTTATAACTTTTCGTATGAAAATGAGATCATATGTATAAGGCAATATATATATATATATATATATATATATATATATATATATATATATATATATATATTGCCTTATACATATGATCTCATTTTCATACGAAAAGTTATAACAATCAAACATGTAATTTTCAAGTTCTCATCAGTCATGACACACATATGTAACAATATTTACCTTAAAATAAATGTTATTAAGAAAGTATGATATAAATTATATCGTGGAAAAAAA